CAAACTAAAAACTACTTCCAAAAACATTCAGCTTTGATATTAATGAGTTTTTTGGGTTCATTGAGGACATGGTTGTTGTTCAATAATAAAATTATTCCTCAAAAATACAACTTGCCTAATAATTCCGCACTCCCTGTATAGTAAGTTTTAACACTACACTATAACACATTGCACTGTATACACTATAAAGTACCTGAGATATGCTGGTTTTAGCAGATTTCTTAGATTTCTTTCAGCTGTACTCTTCTTACACCTTGTCAGCGAACAAAATATTTTGAACTGCTCTTTCAGCCAGGACTGAATGTGATTCTTGCCATGCCTCTGTCTCTTACAGAGAAATTGACCTGCCTTACTGAAATTAGCCAAAGCACGGCAGCCAAGCCGCAACACTGGCATGAAAGCATGTGTACTAATGCCTGTTTTAGCCTTTTTCCACATGCGTCTGCAACACACATAGACAAATCCAGGACGTGTAGCTGTTGTCTGCCGACGTTTTGACAGAGGCCTGCACTTCATCATTGAAAATGTGTCATAAACACAAGCACGCACACGGAAATTCATAGCGTTGCGCTTTAGCTTATGTCTGTGTTATGAATCTACAAAGCTTTGAATTGACTAAACCAGGTGTCCTGGCCACTAATGGTTCAAAATGAAGTGGAAGGTCTGGTTGGTTTTTAGAGAAAAACATACTTATCATACACTCAGAATAAGCCATTTCATGTGAAAATAAATCTTTATCAATGTATACAGACAAGCCATACTAGCTAAAAAGAGCCTAATGAAAGCCTATGATTATTTAAATAGATAGTTTTGAAAGAAAAAAAGTTACTTCAAAAACTGTGACCATGCAAAATTTGCATAACTTGCAGTTACTTGGAAGAGATGATTATTTAAATTGAATTTATAGAGAAGACTGGATGATTGCCTTAAACAGACAACACAGACACATACACCACAGGATAAGAGTATTTATGCTCAAATTCTGAATGGAATGAATTTGACAATGCAGGGCAACAGAAGATACAAAGAGCAGCAAGAACAGACTAAATGAAAGCGCTATGGATAATGAGCACAAAAAAAATTCATATGGCTCTCCTCATGTTTCCTCAGTTTATATTTATCTCATATTCAGATAGTAGCAGCAGATCATAGAACATATATGCCTAGTTATGAACTCTTGCCAGTTTGAATCAGTGTAAACACCGCTGCTTGCCAATACAAACAATAAAATGTGCTTTGTGTTTACATCTCACCCACTATATGTTTGACTGCTGCAACTCAACACCTGGCAAACATTTGGCTATAAAAATCCATTGGATAATGTGCCATGGAAATGCATTATATCCCTTTTTTCCACATGATGTGATTTTCTGATGAAGATACAGCATTCAAATATATATATAAATGTGGATGCCAGTGTTCATATTGTCTATGTGTGTCATCACATATGTAGCATATGAAAACTGCTCCACAATAACAACAGTGATTTATTTAAAAAAGAAATTCATTTTTATGGTCTAATCCTTATTTCCATACATTACTCTGTATTTGGCTCTGGGATTTCATAGTTGAAACGAAATATGAGGTACATAATGTCAAAGGTGATTTTTAAAGGTTAATGAAAATCTTGTGGACAGTAATGCAGAAAAGTTTCATTTTATGCAAATACCCCAAAAGGTCAGATTCCCTTTGTGTACTATATAATGTATGTTAACGTGTAACATAAAGGGAAAAGCACGCTTTTCTTTCTATAATTATTTCTTTTATCTCCCTTTTTAGAAACATGATGCCCAGTTCACAGGAATCCAGTTGGTTGGCATGCTGCGCGGTATTGCTTCAGGCATGAAGTATCTGTCAGACATGGGTTACGTTCATAGAGACTTGGCCGCTCGAAACATTTTGGTCAACAGCAATCTGGTGTGTAAAGTGTCAGACTTTGGCTTGTCCCGGGTGCTGGAGGATGACCCGGAGGCTGCTTACACAACTAGGGTGAGTTGGAATACAAATACAAATAAAACATTTAAAGACAACACTGTTTTATATCAATTCTATATATATCCTCTCCAACAAAAATAATCCCCCCACCAAAAAGCAACACACTCCATCCTCTTCCGGTCTTTGTTTTTGTCATCACACATACACAGACACAGATACTGTGCACCTGTTCCCCTCACATATCACAGCAAGGGTGAACGACACATAAAAAACTAGTTGTTAAAGGGCAGACATAAATCCACATATCCTAAACTGGAAGGTCATAGGGAAGACCATTAAAGCCCCATGTGCCATAAGACGATGCGTCTCATTGAGAAGAATATTGTTGGGCTTTGCCACTGTCATTTGCTTTCATAATGTATATGACAGAGGTTTTACTTCTTAGACTGAACTTTTTTCAGATAACTCTTTGAGGTATCCTGCATAATCTGTTGGTGCAACAATGGCAGGAACTGCCTCTTGAGGCTGCTAGCTAGTAGAGAAGGCATCTACTGACCAGATCTATTGGGCTGATTACAACTCATAAAAGCCGTTTGAGAGGCTAATAAATTCTGAATTGGTTGCTTTTTGGTGATACACAGCAGTTGATAAAGTTCATCCTTTAGGAGGAAAAGCACCGATACTTTCAAAAAGTATCATGTCTCGCTTTTAGAGGCATAGGCACACATGCCAAGAAGACAATTTCAGACATTTACAGTGCTTCTTACGATGATGGAAAATCTGTGTTTCAACTTACCTTGGAAATCCACTTAGGATACTTCCCATAACAATGTAATAATAGCACATAGGCAATGGAAAATTAGTATTATGAGAAAGATCATAAAAATGGAATCCTACAGATGGTCTCCCAGTAAGTTTTGGCAATTCAATTTTTCAGAAAGAAGTGTATGCATGTAATTAGATTTGCACACCTGTGGTGAGAGAAGCTCTAATTGCTCTGTTTGTGTCTTTGCATCTCTACATCCTGAAGAAGCATAACCTGGTATGCATTCATGTATTTTTAATGTCATTAGCCCTGTGAAATAAAGGCCTTTGATTGCTTTTTCAAACCTACCTTGAGTACCAGAACCTGGATGTTTTATGCCATTTATTGATTTATTGATTTCTTTCCACCATTTCCATTAAAGTTAAAAAACAAAAAAATATCGTAAAAGCATTTTTTATTTGCCTTAGCATTAGATGCTCAAATTGAAACACACCCAGTAGGCAAATTATGATCCAGACACTGATTTTAACCGTTGGAAGTGTGTGCGTGTGTGGCCATTCTCAACTGAGGAATCTGTGGTCTTAACCATGCGTGCAGCCTTTTAGACAGAGTATAATTTTCTGGCTGAGAATGGCTTGTCAAATAAACAGTCAATGTGCCGTTTGCCTTTCTCCCAGAAATTCATAATCTGAAATAATGAGACAGAATAATAAACTCTGCCGCATTAAAGTAACTGACAATGCTAGCACATGTGGGCTTCTGTGGATTTTTTTCTCTCCACTTCTTTAGTCATTGTTTTTTAGGAAAAAATCAAAAGTTTGTGGTCGTATGTGCATGTTTACATGCATGTGCGTCCCACGTTTAAGGGTATTTCTGCACATTTTAGACTTTAATATCTTTGTGCAGCAGCTGGGTATAGTATAAGTGCAAGAGCAGAGTGTATTTTCTTGTTTGTATTTATAAAATGTTTCTTTGTAAACTGCTTTATGTGTGCCGCCATTTGTTGGCTGTCTGCATTTCATTCTCACATACATTCCCCATTATTTCCATAACTTCAGTATGGAAATAGTAATAGAGGAATGTAAAGTTTAGAGTGTGACTGCACAGCATTGGGCAAAACCCAACTGATTGGGCCAAGGTTTCTGTTAACTTTGGCTACCATCAGCCTCCTACCCTATAATCCATTTTGTTCATCTGTCTTGATTTTTAGCTAAAATGACAAATACAGCTACACACTGTAGTATGGGCTTATCCAGGACACATTGGATTACAATTTGATGAATGGGTTTTTCTTTCTGGCTTTAACTTTCTTTAAGACTGATGATAATCCATTTTGATTAAATCTTAATATAATGTGTTTTGTTACAATAAAGTTCAATGTCCCCTTATGTGACAATTTTAAAGTCTTTTTTAGAAGTCTTAGACTTTTTTTTTTTTGCCAGTCTGGGAAAACAAATTAATTAAAGACAATGAAATGAAAGTGAAAGGTAAAAAAAAAAAAAAGCTTATGCATGGTTCACCTTTCTGTGATGAAACATGAACTTTAGACTCTTCCAGACGACACTGGAAAAAATAATAAAAATATTATTTTTACAATTGTTACAGTTTTGAATCTGAAGCTGTGATCTCAAACCTTAAATCCAAACCACAAAGACCACCAGGATTTAGGGGTTTCAGAATAGCCTAAATAATATTCATAAGAAATATTCTTGCATTGGACACAAACCTGCACCTCAGATCCAAATCCTGGTTTTCAGAAATTTTGCTCAAGAATACATCCAGTTTTAAATATTTATATCCACGAGCAGTACTAAACTTGGAAAATCTATTTTAAAAAAGTTTTTAAAGATTTTAAGATGTAATATCAAAAGGTTTATAAAAAAAATCCCATAATTTTAGGTAGAAAATTAGTTATGCTCAAGAATTATTGATGTTTTTCAATGACAGATTGAATGACTGAAATACAAAATGAGCTCAATGAATGACCTCTCATTGTCTGTATTTCAGGGAGGTAAAATCCCTATTCGGTGGACTGCTCCAGAGGCTATCGCCTACAGGAAGTTTACATCTGCCAGTGATGCTTGGAGTTATGGCATTGTGCTATGGGAGGTGATGTCATATGGGGAACGACCATACTGGGAGATGTCCAATCAGGATGTAAGTTCTATTTATTTGCAAAGTTGCATTCCTTTAATAGGTACACATCCACATCTGCAGGGCTACCACCTTTGCACATTTGACAAAAGACATACTCTAGTAAAGTATTCTTACAAAACTGAGAAAAAAATCACTTACTATTACAATGTATTTTGTTCTGAATATTATTTGCCTTTTTTCAAATGCTGTCCGTGTTGTTCCTCATAAAGGTAATAAAGGCTGTAGATGAAGGTTACCGACTGCCCCCACCCATGGACTGCCCTGCCACTCTCTACCAGCTCATGTTGGACTGCTGGCAAAAAGAGAGGAACAATCGGCCCAAGTTTGAGCAGATAGTTAGCATCCTGGATAAACTCATCCGCAACCCCAGTAGCCTCAAAATCACAGCGAACACCACATCCAGGTATCAAAGCCATCTTACATGTATTTGTTTTCATTATTATTTTTAGGTGGTTGTTACTTGCATATATAAAACTTTACATTTAAGAAAATACCAAAAGAAAAACCCAGAACTGCTGGTCAAAACCATGCAAGGCTGGTGAATGTCTCTTAGTCTTGAATGGTTTCTAAGTTGTTCTTTTTTTCTCTTCTTCTTTTAATTTTATTGCCATGTACTAGACAATCCAGTACTGTATTTTAGGTCATATAAAGTTCTGGCTGGTGATCACTAGACATATTATCAGCATATTTATGAAAGTTCTACTTCTCAATAACATAATTTAACATTTTTAATGTCATGAAAATTTGGGATGGGGAAGTTTCTTTCACTCGTTTTACCACCTGTACACAAAGGAGCTCAATATAAACACCGCCTATTTCTTCTGCTTGTAAGATTTAAATGCAAATTAGCACCACTAGAAAATGTATCAGATCTCTTTTCTGATATTTTCAAAAATGTTATCTTATTTGTTTCTCACATTACTTTCTTTTTTGCCCTTGTTAATGCTCTGTTCCTTGCCTTTATTGAATCAGTCATTTTCTCCCAGGGGTGTGTGGGTAAGCAGGGCAACATACACTTGTCAGTCCTGGGCAAGAAGGGATACAGGAATTGGGTTTGCAGCAGACGGCCATGGTATTATGTAGATGTCAAAGCTAGTAACATTGACTAATGATTTCTTAAGAAAGTGAAAATAGGTCCCTTGGAGTTTGCATGTAATTTTCCTGATTGGCTTTTAACACTGGGTGAGCACAGGCTGGCCGACAGAGGCTGGTGCGTTGATTTATGAGAACTCTCTGTGCGTATGTGTGTATGTGTGTGGTGGCGGCGGCAGTTGCACAGCGGGAGCAGCTGCACTCAGCTCCACACACCTCGTTTGTCTCAGGGCTGTCCTGGCTTGCTAATGCAATACCCCCTCCTCCACAAAGCCCAGAACAAAGCCTGTGAACCAAGTAGAGCATCTGGAAACTTCGAGGGTGGGACCTGGTCAGTTTACTCTTCCTGCATATGGATGATGAGAGAGTCAGAAGGCCAAGGTTGACTGTCAGGGGCTAATTATGGGCCAACTGGTGTCCAGTAGAGGTTAGCAGCCATTGGGTATCTGACTTAACTTTCAGGGTGTCTAAATTATGTGAGATTGCTGCAATCGCACTTTCTAAATCAAAGATAGTTTTTTTTCTGCACAACAAAGCATGCCAATGGCTGCTTACAGTATTACCTTTAAATACATAACACTCAAAGTTTTATCAAATCTAAAATATTTATATAGAGAATATCTCAAATATCAACCTTTATCCAGAGAGGCCAGGAACATAGGTTGGATAAAAGGACTTGGGAAGCAACAAGGATTGGTGCCTGGTCTATGCTTGGCAATTGCAATGGGCAAACATTCACCTGTGAATGGAAACCGCCTGATAGTAGAAAAGAACACAGGCATTTATCACAGAGAGGTATATGTTGATGAGAATATCTAAAAAGTCACAAGTATGAAAAACTGGATAGAAGTTAAATAGAATAGTTTTATGATGAGCAATACTTCAATTCAGTTGCCAAAAATTCTTAAACTGTTAGCTCAGACACTACCAAAACTTCAGAGTGAAAATAAATTGAACAAAGAATTCGGAGCACAGTCACGTATTGTTGCTGAAATCAAATCAATCAATCAGTTTAGCTTTCCTCAGCCCACCAGAGTACTGGTTAAAACTACATGAGACCATCCAATTTGGCAGTGGCAGCAAAGGGCTGCAACTGAAAGGGCTAATATTACCCCTAAATATCAGTCTAAACTGTCCTTGAATTGCCTTGGAGCTGTCACGCTGAAAGGTAATTTCATTCCCTTTTTTGTGAGCTCAAAAATCAGAAGATTATTTGGAGATTAAAACAAGGAGTACAGAACAAAAGATGAAAAAAGGGAATATATAACCCGACTCCCTTTCTCTCTGATATAGTCATATTTTCATCTATATTTTCAAGTGGGTGTTTTCTGCTTTGCTATATAGTATTAAGTAGACATTATACCCCCCCCGCCCCAAACCCCAAGTCTCAGACAGATGCTTTTTTTATGATTTTCCAATTCATCACATCTCTCTGTTTCCTCACCAATCATCGTGTCTCTTGAGCTGCAACAAGATGTTGCTGAAAATGTAACAACAAAGGAAACATTGAAAATGATAAGGGAGACGAATCAAGGTCATCTGCAGTTTACCTCTCAGTGGAGACAGCAGAAGGGAAAAAATGAGACAAAAAGAGGAAAAAAGATCAAAGATAGAAAGAAAAAGGGGTGTAGGAGGGGAGGGAAGAAGATCAATAATCCTGAAAAAAGAATTTTTTTTATAGCCCAAAACTTTAAACGGAAGATAGTTATCTTTTATATATCTTAATTGATTTTTCCTGATTTGTTTTCCAGCAAATATCAGCAAAAATCTCTATTGATTCCTCTTCCTCTTTTTTCAAAAAGAAGTAACACATATTTAAAATATTTTTTAAATGGGTTTCTACTGTCAGAAGATTCACATATTACTTTCTTTTTGTGCTCATGCAAACCACCCCCCTCCATCTAGCCCTCAATTCCCTCCTTTGCAGACAAACCATCTTTCCAGGGGGTCCTGGGGGCCCTCAGCATTTTGACAACCCTCTGATCTGGCAGGAAAAGACTCAATCACTGTAACAGCACCCACTCCACCACCTCAAGTGCATCTTTTTTTCTCCTTCTTTTTCTTCTTTTCTCCTGTCACCACTTGGGATACCATCTCAATAATCTCAATGTGCCTAATATTTTGTTGGCTTAGTGTGCTGTTTCTGACACCATTAATTATATTATATTGATTTAATTAAAGGTGTCAAATCAATAAAATACATTTTAATTAGAGCAGGTGACGAAAGCACGTAACATATTATATGAAATTATACCTTTTTTTCTGTAGGTACACAAACCCTGGCGCATTTAGAGTGGCTTTAAACTTCCTTGCCAATTTCCAAGTCAATTAGGCAGAGGTGGACTTTCTGGTATTCTAATGAGTTTGTTTACAGTGCTATAAATAGTTTTCCCCAACGGAGCGCCATCTGTTTTTTTTTTGTTGTTCTTTTTTTTTTGACCTGCTTTGCTGTATTCCCTTGAGTGCCATACATATCTTGGTACAGGTGTATTTATCTGATCTTTGTGACAAATGCAGTGTGTCCTTCATTTTTGGAACACAGTTTTAGATGATACTCAGAAAATCAAAATGAAAATGCACAGTGTGCTACTACTGGATTGATTATTGTGTTATGAGCTGTAGTTTGACCTGATATGGTTTGGCTTTGTTTCCCGTTCGCTGCACTAATGTGCTCAGGTTTCACAGTAGCTGAGGGAATCACATTTGTATAAACATGAGTTGCGGTATCTGAAAGTCGCCATTAATAAAGCACATTGTTTCCTTGGGCCCTCTGCACTCTCTAGCTCTAATGTACCTTTACTCTCTGTAAGTCTTTTTACCCATCATTGTTCCTCAGCCCCCCCTCCCTTTGGCAAACATCAATCAGAGCTAGTCACAACAGTGCCTGCAGTTTTTCCCTACACCCTCTACAGTTGACTGAGCATTTTAAAGCCCAACGCAGAGCATTTAATATGATTTGATCCAATTGAAACCATCAAGTCTAATCAAATCTAATGTTACGTTCTGCTGCATGGTACATCTGCTACAGGAAATAATGATGGAATTAGCCAGAAACATTGCTAGCTCAAAATAATAAAAAAGGACAGTGAAGCAATGACTGCTGATGATAGCATGAACAATGAACAAAGGCTGATGTCTGTTGTGAAAATGCAGTTGCCAAACTGTTTCTGAGACCGTAAAGCATGCAGACCATTTTGCACACACACTCTGACATGTCTGACATGCTTCAGACTCTGTAAATGGTGCAATAGTGTATGCTTGAAAAGACAATATACATAGTTGTAGGACTAGTTCACTATGACATCAGCTGGCTGTAGATAAAACAGAAACTGTGATACCTGGTGGTGTTTATTCTCCTGTTTTCCTTAAACTACAGTATGATGTGAACTCTAATGACATCTAGGACACGAAAATCTTACAAGTGGTTCATCATCACTTATTGATATGTTTGCTTCTCCCTTGACTATTCTTCTCCTCTCTGTCAGGCCACCCAACTTGTTGTTGGACAGAAGCAGTTCAGAGGTTCCCTCAGTGGGAACAATGGGCGACTGGATGGATGGAATGAGGACCTTGCCCTGCAAGGAGGCCTTCTCTGGGGTCAGCTACAGCTCCTGTGACACACTGGCCAAAACCTCCACAGAGTAAGGCAACAACACACAGAGACACACACATTAGGCTTCTTTGCCTATTCATGTCAGCAGTGTTTACAGGGCCCAAGTATCAGAGGTAAGGCCCAGGAATTTGAAGAGACTCTTGGTGAAGAACAAGCACACACATTCTCTTGTTCTCACTAAGTAAAGAAAGCTATAGAGCCATTACTAAAGGTGTCCAGATGAAACTCATGGTAACTCATAAAGACAGGTCTTTAGCTATGCTTTCAATGCTGCAAGTATGAGCAGAGGGGAAGGTGAGAGCATTGAAAGAAAGAGAAAAAAAAAGAGAAACCCAAAAAAAAAGAGAAAGAGAGGGTAGAAGAGTTGTGAGTTCCATGAGGGAAAGGGAATAAGAGAGACGCTATTGAGAGAGAGAATGAAAGGGGAGATTTGACAAGATAAAAGAGTAGCGAGAGGGGCCTTTGAAAGAGAAAATGAAGGCATAGCTGTCAAGTAGGTGTGCAAAGACATGGCATTCTCTGTGCTGTAAAGCATTAAAATGCAAAGAATAGAGCAAGGATAGATTGCTAGAAAATTATTTGGCAGCCACATCCAGAGAAATCACAACTGGCGAGCACACAATATAGGACCTACAGTATGTTCACTTGGTAAGAAAGTAGGTCCTACAGTGTGTATTGTTGTTCGGTCCCTTTCTTTCCCTCTCCCTGTCCTCCTTTTTCCTCGCTCTGTTGGCCTGCTGCTAGTTTAATTGATGTGGAATGTGACAGAGTAAATAATTGGACATTTCTAATCATTGTGATCAAAGCAGCCATTCTCTGCGTTGATAGCAGTTGCGGGGGCAATTGGGGACTGGTGGTCAGTACTACAAGCAGTTGTAACTCAATAACTGTACAAAGCAGGGAGTCATTAACTGTGTTGGGCTTAATATGCTGGAAAGAAGGATTGTGTGTTGTGCATGAGTTTAAACTATGTTAAATTGGTTGGAGCTGATATTAAAAAAAGCTGTTGTTTAGCAGACCTCCTCACAGTGCCAACTGTAGACTTCATTGACTTATAACTGGAACAGAATAATTTTTCCTGGAAATATTATACGTAATGCTCTTTACTACCTTAAGACAAGCTCAAGTGTGTTTATTTTCCACACATAGCGCTTAATTCTGAAATATATACTTTCAGCTTCCTGTAATTTTTATTATGGTTCTTTTCTTGTGTAGGAGTACTACACAAAATGTTTTTTTCTCTTCTCTTATAAGTCACTATCCAATGTGATAAATGAATGTGTTTAATCTATGAAAAGGTTATCTTAAAATGTTGTATTTAGCGCACAGACTAGGTGGAAATCCACAATCAGTATTGACAAAATACATCAAAGACAAATTGCACTGAAGGAATCGTGCACCAAACATAATATATTGGTCTACAATGCCTTTTCAGTGGCTAGATACTAAATTGGATCACCGCAGTATTAATCCACTGAAGGCTTCATCTAAGGCACCTAAGCTCAGCTACAAGGCAGAAGCCTTGGCTCAGACTATGAATTGCACTGTATAGATTTCTGTATTGATCTGTACAGTCTTAATCTAGTCCTTGATATTCAGCACAAGGCCTGGCAATGCTCTGACCTCAGAGGAACAGTTATCATACTCGGCCGCAGTGTGCTGAGTCATCTGTTGGAGTAATTGATTAATCCTTTTTCAAGAAGAGAAGATCGACTGACATATAAATACTGCATCATTTGGAGTATTTTTTTTACCTGTACACTGTCAATGTCAAAATGTTTTCAAATCATTTTAGGATCTTTTTTTTTTTTTTTAGATTTTCTTTTACAATGTGATAGACACACACACAAAAAAAAATTAAATCAGCATACAATATAATCACAATCTATACACTTTATTTTTATTACCCGTTAAAGAAAACACTCTCATTGCAGTGGCAGACAAGTCATCATTGGTGTCTTGTCTGCCACAGAGGTGAGATAAGCAGTTTGTGTTTATTCTTACAAAATGTGCTAATACCACCCATAACAATAATATCTAGTTTAATGTGTTAACATTGCTGGGCCTGGCTGTTTCTCAGTAGAGTGGTTCTGACGGAGGTCCACGTCACACAAGCCACTTGCCCAGAATGGGAGCCATCCATGGGGATCACCACTCTCTAACACCCAGCTTCACCCTACTCAAGCTCTGGATGGTGGGTGGAGGACCAAGGCCTAGGTCTAAGATCAATAACCTCCAGAACCACTGATGGGCTTTTACTTGTCTGATCTTTGAAGGGATAGTTAGTTTTTATTGAGTGGCAACTTCATCCCATTTAGGCTGTAATTATAAAAAAGAGTAAAATGCCACATGTTCTAAAACAGGGCTACTGATTTGGTGCTCAAAATACTAATAGGGTACTTTACAAATGTTGATTAGTATTGCACACATAATCAGCAGTAGATGCTGGTTTCAGCCTCTTTTGCATGCTAATGACCAGAAAACAGACCAAATGACAAGCTTATAAATTACAGATTAATTATTTATCTTTATTGTTGCAAAGGTAGATAGTTGTAAACCCAAGTATTGTGCCAACTTGACAACATAATAATTTGTATAATCAACACTGAAGCAACTATCCCTTGAAATCGTCACACAAAGTAAGGCAGAATCTGTAATTTGGATCACTGTCAGTTTCTGGGTTTTCAAATTGTATCTATATTTTTTTTAACTCTATTTCAAACTAAACTTTCTGCTTGCATATGGAAAATAAAAACATTGTTTTGTTTTTTTAAAAAGCACTAAATGGCTGAAAGAGTTTCTTGCAGTAATGCCATAATCCCACTGCTTCTACTAATACAATACACTATTTAGGAGAAAGGAGTCCTAACATGTGCTGTGATTGCTGTGTGCTGTAAAATCAATGCTCTGTGTACTGCTTTGTATGTATTTTAACGTTTTTGCTGGTGTATGTTTATTATTGAACAAATGGTGCAATATTTAAATTAAGCTGACTAACTGCTTTGTCTATTTCAGGTTTACACTGTATAACACTCTTAACAACTGTATTCTAGTTAACTCAAGTGGTCTTTTCTTTGAATGCAAGTAACCAACCTTCTAAGAGCTTTTAAGAGTATTAACGCTTTAACAGAAGCACTTTATGAACCAGTGTCGTGTTCAACACATGTCCCTGTGCTGCTCCTCTCCACAAAATTAAGTGTACCTGTCAAAAAAATCCAGCTTAATGCAATGCAGAAGAGTAGTTCTGTTCTGCCACTGTGGCCCTTGTATTTTATTGTTTTCTACCCTGACAGGGTCATAATGGCAGCTGTCAGTGAAGCCTTCTGGGAAATGCAGTCCTTTGCAAATGACAGGCGCACAGCGAAGCGAAGGGAGCAACACTGGGAGCATGCCACTATTGTCACACGGATGTCATATTTACTATCACTAACGCACACGTTTCCATTTTTTTCCTTCCCATCTTTCTCTCTGTCTGATTTTGTCCCATTTATTTTTCAACCTCACTCTGCCCCTCTCTCCCCCTTTCTCGCTTTTCTTGCAAACCAGGGATCTAAAAAAGGTTGGAGTGACTATTGTAGGACCGCAGAAGAAGATAGTGAGCAGCTTGAAAGCCCTAGATTCTCACAACAAGAATGGCCCAGTACCTGTTTAAAAAAATGGACCCGACAAATGAAAACCACCAGAGACCTATCTGTTGGTCTGTGTTGACAGACTGTGTTTGCTAATTGCACTCTAACACAGTGGCTGCATATTCAGACTGAAAATGGCGGAAAAATATGGCATGATTCAAATGATGTCTTTCATTGTTTCATTTGAAAGATGTCCCGGCAGAGAAGTGGAGAAGAGCTCAGTTCAGTTCTACCTGCTAGGTAACTGGCTGACTCAACCCTCTGCCCCTCTGTGCCCATGTTGAGTTGCCTTACAGACTAAGAGGGGGGTAGAGAGCAGAGAAAAGAGAAGAAGGTCAGAGAGACCTGATCAGGAAGACAAAGGAGAACTGTACTGGGATGCAGGGCAAGGACTGCATTAACATATAGCCGGACGTCTCCATGATTATGGCTTACCCACAGCACGCCCGAGAATCAGCCTGTAGTCCAAGGCAGTGAAACAACTGAAACACCTTGCCAAGAAAGGTACGACGGACAGCAGCAGCTGACCCACTTGTAGAGCCCTCCTGGAGTGAGGAAGTCTGAAGCGTGAGATTTTGTTGCAACTACCTTCATTTACCGTCTCTATCCATGCGAGATCTCAGCTGGAATGGACACACCGAGATGCTAACCGAGCCATTTTACTCTGTAGCTCTGATCTATAGCATTTGCATTCAGTAGACATGTCACTTAAAAGCAATAATGATATAATCAGTGGAATAATTTCATTGTATGGAAGCCATGAGTCTATCACATGTAAAATGTATTGAATGCTGTGCTTTAAAAATAACAGGGGCCATAAATCACTTCACCCACAGATTTTTCTTTATGGTGACATCTGTGTTCTGTGTGCTTATGAACAGATATTGTACAGTTTTAGTGCAGTTCTCTCTGTAACCCCTTTGTGTGAAATCTCAGGATGTATACTTCCTTATGTTTTCTCAAGCAAGGACAAACTGATGGGGAAAATGGAGCAAACTAGAACTGAGAATTCAGGTTAAGATACATGTGCAAGAAAAGGGAAAACAGAGAGATGATGATGAGAGACAACAAGTAAAATCAATGTCAGCCCTCTGCTACTGCTGCTGATGTATTGCAGAAGTGTAATATACTCAGAGCTCACGTTTCTTCTTTAGGGAAGACAAGTTAGCATCATCAAACTCTCACAACTCTCGTTTTCTTTCTAAAGAGTGTAATTTTTGCCTGTGTAAGATCGGTTTAGTAGGTTGAGATTAACACTGCCTATCTGAGGTTATAGTCCAGTAACTTAGGTTTGAATTCATAATTTATTAATAAAAGCCATTTAGGAGTTGTCATTTTGTTTGATTGGAAAAATTTGTGTAAAAAATAGTTTGTTATATTGTAAAATTAACTTTAACCGATTATTTTTGGTGTGTTTAATGCAAAAAAAAAGTTGAGTGCCTCCTGTAGTTGGACTTGGTTTTGGTTTGACGTCAAGAAAGTCTTGGCCTTCTTTCTCTGTTCTCTTTGGGATATAGAGTTGGTTATTACCTAAACTAACTAGATTTTGCCCTGGAAGAGATGCAGCATATCTAATAGATGATTGCTTTCTGAGATAGTATCCAAGTGCGTCATATCTCCAGTATGGGCTTTCCTAAAAGCACCTTAGAAGACCTTTGTACAGTGAAGTACTTTACGATGCTAGTCTCCTGCTTTGATGTCACCCAGTCAATCCCTCAGTGCAACATGTACCCAGATTTTTTGAACTGGCACTTTGGTACTTTGTGCTTTTGGTTGGGTAATATGTAACAAGAAGGATGCAATATTTAAGTTTCTTCAAGCACTTAGTACGCAGTATTGCAGCACTTTGAAATTAAATGTTATTGCCTTGGCGCTAGATTAAACTTGTCTAACAGACGGGGTGATTTTGGTGCTTTTGGGAAACCCAGCCTTGGTCAGTCTGTCAGTCCTGTCTTCTTTTCTTTGGTCTACCTGTGGATGCTACTGTTGCTGCTATGTGTTTTAATTAGCATGTACATAATGTAAACCATTGTTATTATGGCAACTAGCACTACAGATCCCACTATATGTACATGTCCATCCCTTTTTTGTACAAATGTTTGTATGTATAAAAGCCTGAATAAAAATTGTGCAACATTTTTAATTAAAAAAAAAGAGAAAAAGCATTTGTATTTTATTTTATCTTGTTTTGAATTATATTTGTCAGCTTTGTTTTTTTTTTCTACAATAAAAAGGCAATTATGATTACGTTATTTATTTGTTAACATTATACAGTGCATTGTTCGTTTTTTGGGAGGGTGGGGGGAGGGGCATAGAGTAAATACTGTGTCAATGCTGTCTGTGTTTTGGTTCTAGACTTACTTTATAAAAATGACACAGCTGAGAGAGCAATACTGTTATGAGCCCTATATCCAGATTCCTAAATTTATGTTTCAAGTCTGATTCGAGTGTCTGTGTGAGAGTTTATGTGTGGAAATGTAGATCGCCTTGTCTACTAATGTAAAATGATTTGTAGTGGAAACATTTATATTTTTATAATAAATATTCTCAAAATATTTTCCAAAAAACGGATGATGACAGACCTGCTCCTGTGTTTTTTTATTTGATCATGTCGTAGTCATGCAGGCCGACAATTTTTATTACGAGCGCATGATTCACATGTTAAATAGATCACAAGTGGAAGTTGTTGTTTTTTTTTAATCTAAAACATTATTAAATGTCTTTCTTTTTTATAATTTTACACCCAAGAGAATTTTTTAATCAGAATTCAAGCAATCCCAAAATTAACATTTGAAGTATATAGTCCAAATGATCACTGATAGCACCATCAAAAACCGCACTCATGGAACTGGTAATAACAATGTAGGGTACTTTACAATAAGAAAATAACTGAACCTTCATTTTAAACTCTGTAGGTTTGTGAAATATAAATATAAATAAAAAAACAGGTAATTTATCATGTAATTAAAATACACAGAATCAAAATTCCAAATGAAAGAAATGATTAGATCTTAGAGTTTAATGTTATTTTATTTAACTTGGTTTAGCTTGTTAGTTAAATAACCATTTCAATTTGGTTCTTACAACCACGATGTCCTATCTACCTCCCCTCACCCCAACTGGTCATGGCCCATAGCTGCCTGTCCCTGATCCTGGTTGTGCTGGAGGTTTCTTCCTGTTAAAGGGAGTTTTTCCCTCCCACTGTCGTCAAAGCACTTTCTGAAAGGGGATCGTGATTGTTTGGGTTTTTTCTGTCCTTTGTTCTTTGTATTATTGTAAGATCTTTACCTTACAACATAAAACGCCTTGAGACAACTATTGTTGTGATTTGGTGCAACATAAATAAAACAGAATTAAAGAGAGTACACGTGTGTCACATTAATTTTCAAGAAACTTTCTTTAACTGCTGGAATGAGTTCAACATGATGTTATAAGAACATATTTTACCAGCAGGTGGGGTATCAGGATGAATCATACCTTTATTGCAATGGTTAACGAAGAAATCAGTTTCAAAACTATGATTGATTGATTGCAATTGATTTAAAAAAAGACACACAGATATATGCAAACATGCCTCTGCCACTTAAATAGGAATCTCAGATTGATAAAACAAGCCAGCAATTTTGTAATTATTCATATTCTGTCTTTGATGTCTACCTATAAACACTTACCAGGATAAAAGAATAACTCCATGTGTGTATATTAAACAAAGTATTAAGATTCCAAAATTCCCCAAACCAAACCAAATGATGTATTTTTCCCATTGTATCAATGCACACCAACTTTTTAAATAAACAACTTTTAAAAAGCTTACATTTAACATTGAAACGTTTTGTCATTAATTTGTAGTAATCTGTCTTTTACTAACATCCTGTCTGTTATAGGTTTGTCACAAGACACATTCCAAACCACTTATTACTCTACTCATCCATGCTGGACCCAGCTCTTCCACATCCTCCACATCTGTTAACCAGCTTCCCACCTCTGCCTCTGTTTTTAATCTCTTCCACTCTCCTCCTTGTGTCCACAGCCACATCTAATAAAGCATTTTGCTTCCGATCATCCATGGTTAAAGTTGATTTGTTTCATGACTTTAATGCGGAAGATCTGTGTTTTCTCTCTATTTTTTTCCTCACTGGGAGGAGATGAGATGTGTCAGAGAGGGGAAAGAGTGATGGTTGCTCTGCTCAGTGTTGAATGCTGACATTATCCAGATGGTCCCAGGCAGATGTGCACAGTGAAATAAGAGGACATTGCCCTCCTCAAACAATGAACACAGTATGCTTGACACCGCCACCAATTTTTCTCTTGTTTTTTTATCTGGAAGACCTTTGTGGCACTGAAATCGCAAGGGTGATGAGAAAAAACAGAGGGAGAATGAAAGTGGGGGAGGTACAGAGAGTGAATGTTAACAGATTATGAAGCCACAGACCAGAGGATAGAAGGCAGGTGTGCTAAACATATGATGCCGGTGGTAGTTCTGCCTAAGCAGATAAGAACTTTTCAAACAACGGCATACTATCACGGAATAATGCAAGAGAAGATTAGCCAACAGTATTCATCACCCTGCTTGGCAGATACAGAAAGCACGGTTCCAGTTGGAGAGTAATGATAATGAGAAAACAGAGTCATGATGTGTAAAATTAATTTCTCACTTTGAGCAGGGGTAACATGCAATCATGAAAAATACAGCTTTACAGTAACATACTGGTCCTCTTTCTAGGATCTGCCAAACACCACTGTTTCCGTTTGGCCTCAGACATTTCAGAACAGTCAATGAAACTGTTATTGCTGTGGTTTTCAAATCATCTCCCCAACCCTGTGTGTTAGACACCAGGACAATGAAGAACAATAAAAAAAATGTTTTATGTTGACTTGAGGCCAGTGTTTTTAATCTGGTGTCAGTCATTTTTCCATCATCTTCAAGGGTCCGTAGTTTGTGTTTAGATTTTCTGCTGAAGTTGTGGTTAATTCTTGAAACTTGTTGGTGTACACATCCTGTGGAGCTTTTGTAGCCACATAAATACAGCTGATGGAAATTAACCTGATTCTTATGGAGAACGAGTCCTATCCTCCCCATGTAGAGATATCTCCTTCCTTTGAACCCTGTTCTGTGGCCTACCCTCATCGCTCTGTCTCCCCTATCTTCCCTTTTGGTCTTTGGTAAAAACAGGTCTCCAGCTGTGTGCAGCTGCTTTACAGGGCCTGACGACATGTTGCAAACTTCTGTTGCTCTGGTGAGCCAGTTCTGCTGTGAGGATGACATCCTTGTAACTTTACTTCCCGGATTTAAACTTCACTGAAAAGGAACCAGGGTGTCACGTGTTAATTATCTTTGTTTCACACCAGGTTTATCTGTCTGCAGCAGCATATTATGAATAAATACAAGCTGTGTACCTCCAGTGTTCTTCAAAATGTGCAAGAGCACACACAGAGCGGGGCAGTGCTGACACAACGGAAATCTTATATGAAAACATATACACTGCAGGGACCACTAAGCTGTCACACACGTACCGGTGCACACATTCAAAGATACTGTAGATGGATGTTTGTTGGTGGCTTTGTAATGTCTGTGTTCTCTATGGAACCTAAACACATCCTAACTCTTCAATCATTTTATTACCACATTCTGCGCTATCATCACAGCACACACTAACACACAGGTCCCAGGACTACAGTGCTCAGACTGCTTCTGTCATTTTAACAAATGGCACCATCACAAAGGGAAGTGAAGCTATCATCACAGCCTCTACACCACTACTGGATATTTGTCTTTTTTTAAGTGGAAACTACAAGTAGGTGTGCTTTTTGATCAACTTGGGCCCCAGGTGGAATCACTGTCACTGAGTCGTCTCAAATGAAATGACCTCGAAAAACTTTTTGTTGTGTTGTTTGATTGAGTGCATTCTCAGCGCAAACCCTGTCTTATGATTTCTTTTTGGATTAACGTTAAGATTTTAATGTTTGTATATGGTTTGATTTTTTGATTTCAAATGTTAGAATAGTTCTCCAAAAGGATTATTTATGCGGGTGAAAGCCAATTTAAAAATGTGTTCTTTATAGACCTGAAGTTATACCTACATTAGAACTACATTAACCTCTTAAGCCCCAAGCCTACCTGATCTCCTGCCTTTTGCCCCCGTATCAGGGGGCGTTGGGGCTTAAGAAGTTAAAATAGTGTTTTTGTAAATAACTGCATGAATACGCTTACCAGTTACTTTGTTAGGTATGGCTGTTCAGCTGCCCGTTAACACACGTATTTGATTAGCCAGTCACATGGCAGCAGCTCAATTCATGTTCAAAACAACCTCTTGAAGTTTAGATTACGCATCAGAATGGGCAAGTAAGATTATTTAAGTGACTTTGAATTGGACATGATTGTTGGTGCAGGGCAAGCTGGTATTTCAGAAACTACTGATCAGCTGGGATTTTCTCACCCTACCATCTCTAGGGTTTAGAGAGAACAGTCTGAGAAAGACTAAATTTGTAGTGAGGGCAGTTCTCTGGGTGAAAATGCCCTGTTGAAAGTGAAAGTCGGAGGAGAATGTCCTGCCTGCTTTGAACACTTAGGAAGGCAAGAATATCTCAAATGACTCATTACAATAAAGGTATTCAGCAGAACACCTGGCAACTTGTCAAACCTTGAAGAAGATGAGCTACAGAGAAGACCACACCTGGTGCCAGTCTTGTCAGCTAAGAACAGGAAGGCTATAATTTGCACAGGCTCACAAAAAAATGGTCAAAATGGTTATTTGAACATGAGAATTAGTTCACTGCACATAAATGGCCACCACAGTTATCAAATCTCCAACAGTGCACCTTTGTTATATGATGGAGTGGGAGATATGCACATGAAGAAAAACAAAAACCTGCAGCAACTGTGTGATGCTATCATGTCAGTATGGGACAGCATTTCTTCCCAGCACCTTGTTAATTAATGCAGTTCTGAAGGGACTGTACTAGCAAGGCATACTTAATGCCTATGCAAATTTTTGTGTTTAATTTATTTATCCCAGCCTGTCACCCTTAGCCTCTGTCGTATAGAATGATGAACTTGTTTTTTTGCAGTACCATTGGTTGTTGCTTATAGAGATTATTTAGACTGAGGTGTTCCATGCCTGCTAAATAATAGGATATGCTAGACTACACAGTTG